CGAAACCAGCAGTTCAATTTCAGGCTGCAGCAAAGTCACATTGTGCAGAGGACTCATCTGGTTCCTGTGGTTTTGTCCCGGTGGTCGTCTGACACGAGATCTATACAGGAGATCTGTATCTAGGGCTCATCTAGTTGTCCAAGTAAACATGACTTCATTAATAAATCAGTTTATTTCCCTGTTGTGACATCAAAACATAACCATTTAAGAGGCAAAAAACTACCTGGGTCGACCGGATTATGCTTAAGCCGTTTATGACCTTACTCCGATAAAAGAAAAGGGGTTACGGGTTTTGTGATGCTTCAGATAAACCGTATATCAGAAGTTTAAACTCGTATGCTTAAAAATGCATGATTTTAATGCGATTAACATGATAATCAGAACCAAAACAGATGTTTTTAGCAGGTATGAGCTGTAATGGCCCAGCTCTATTCTGGAAAAGGGGGCGGGGAGCAGCAGCTCATTTGCATTTAAAGAGACAGGCCCGAAAAACAGCGTGTTTCTGCTTCCACTCAAAATAGGCATTTTCAAAATGATATAATAAATGATCTGTGGAGTATTTTGAGCTGAAACTTCACAGACACATTCTGGGGACACCAGAGACTTTATTACATATTGTAAAAACGGGCATAATATGTCTCCTTTAAATCACACTTTACTGACTAGTTCCTTTAACTAGTGCTCTAGTACCTTCTCCCGATGATGCTGAGTCCGAGGCCGTGGCCTGGTTTCTTCTGAAGCTCGACGCTCAGCGAGTCCCACAGCTCCTCCTCCTTATACGGACCCTCGTCTCTGAAGACCACCAGACGAACGCGCTGCGGAGTCTGCCGCAAAACATTGATGGCCTCGTCGTGCGTCGCCACACGCAGATCTACACCGCTCACCTGAGAGAGACAACGGAGAAAGAGAACGGCTGACATCAAATCAAAGCACTAGCCAGAAGAGCGTCTGATGGTGGAGATTTTACCTCCAGAATCTGGTCTCCTGCCCACAGACGGCCGTCTTTAGACGTGGCTCCCTCCTCGTACACCTCGTGAATTATTATAGTGCCCTGAACAGACAAATACAGCTCTTATGATTCAGTTCTTCCACCCTTGGCAAAAAGAGGTGTTGCTAAGTTGTATTGAATGTGTGCTTGTTGTGTGCTTCAAATTTTAAAAGTATATATATTTTTTAAAACTATACTGGCAGATCATATAATATTAATGAAATAAAAGGTCACTTAAGTGACTTAAAGACACTTTCATGATTATGTTTCTTAACACACTTAAGTAAAAATTGCACTTTATAATTGTCAAATTAAAAGTTTGACTTAATTTTCATTTAATAATCTTTTACAATTATTTTGATGTGCTGACAGGGCGAGTGTTATGTTAGTATTATTTAATATTACTATTATAGTGTTTATTAAGACTTTGAATTAGTTTTATATATATATATATAAAATACACATTTTAAGTTTTATTTTAAATGTAGTCTAAGTTTTAGTCATTTTGCGATGCTTTTGTCATTTGTATTAGTTTTGTATATTTCTATGGAACTTTTATTAAAATTTGAATTAGCTTTTATTTTTATATTTTCATATTTCAGTTTAATATATTAAGTGTAGTTAATTATTTTCAGATTTATAAATTGTGTAATATGCCTTTGCCATTTTATTCGTTTTTTTATTTCTATTTAGCTTTTATTAATATTTTGAATTAGCTTTTATTTTTATATTTTCAGTTTTATTTAAATTTTAGTTTAAATTGTAGTAATTTTGCTGAACTTTTGTCATTTCTATTATTGTTTTATTTCTATTTAGTTTTTTATTAATATTCATAATAAGGTTTTAAGTTTACATTTTCATTTTAATATATTTAGTTAGCAACTTTATTTAAAGTTTTAGCAATTGCCCTGTGTTTTGTCATTTGTATTAGTTAGTTTTTTCTTTAAAACGATTTATTTTTATTTCAGTTTTAGTCATTTTAGTACTTCAACTTAAATGTGTTATTTCAGTTAGTTGCCAAGGCAACATTTCTAATTTATGTTCTAATCAAAAAATGTTGCTTTTTTGTCTAATATTAAAATTTTATTTCAGCATTATTTCACTTAAAATATTTTTTATAGTTTTATTTTTCATTAACAATAAAAACCAACAACTGGATTTTCTTTGAGTCCCAACTTTTTGAGTTGAAGACCATGAAAATTAAAGATTGATGGTGGAAGCTAATTTGTACTTGAATCAAAAATCATGAATTCAGTTTACAATTAGCTTGTATTTATTTTGATACACATTTAGGTAATTTCCAGAGTGTCCGAGTGCACAAGTTTGTATCAGTTCAGTGTGAAACAAGAGTTTATTCACCAGCAGCGTGTCACAGCCGCCCACGATGCTCAGCCCCAGTCCTGTTCTGCCCTTGCTGATCTCTATAGTGGTCTCACAGCCGGGGATGATGGGACACGTCGCCGGATCACACGCCAAAGTCGCCGGTGTGGAGCATCTGCTCGAATCTGCAGCACACAATCACCATGACGACAAAGATCAGCTTCTGATTTATTCATCAGCAAACTCTTTCCATTTTTCTTTAATAACTCCCAGATCCCCCTCCCCTCTTACTCCTGATTGGCTCTGTCTCTGATGATGTCTGAGAAACCAGCGGAAGGCTGCTTCCAGCGACTGATCCCGAGCTAATCTGATTGGATGAGGAGGGTTGGGAGGCGGAGTCGGTGCAGATGGTGAGTTTCACTGAGTGCTGGGTTTTCTGCAGCAGTGACATCACCTACAACACACACATTTCACATTAGACAATGACGTTTTTTTGGAAATATTGAATCCTATTTACATACACTACTGTTCAAACATTTTAGGGTTGGTAAGATTTTTTTTATATTTGTGTCTCTTCCACTCACCAAGACTGCATTTATTTGATCAAAAATACAGTATAAACTGCAAAACATTATTACAATTTAAAACAAGTGTTTTTTATGTGAATATATTGTAAAATGTAATGTATTTCTGTGATGCGCAGCTGTATTTTCAGCATCATTACTCCAGTCTTCAGTGTCACATGATCTTCAGAAATCAGTATAATATGCTGATTTGCTGCTCAAGAAACATTTCTGATTATTATCAATGTTGAAAACAGTCGTGCTGCACAATATTTTTGTGGAAACCGTGATACATTTTATTTTTCAGGATTCACAGATGAACAGAAAGAACAGCATTTATTTGAGATATAAATCTTTTGTGGCATTATAATTGTCTTTACTGTCGCTTTTGATCAATTTAATGCATACTTACTGAATGAAAATATTAATTTCTTTGAAAACTGGCCCTAAACTTTTGAACATTAGTGTACATTCACAACAGAATATTTACAGAATATTGTAATATGGTAACAAAAGAGTTACAGAGAACAGAAGAATCTATAATCTAGAATAAAATAGAATTTTATATTAAAATTAGAATGTTTTTAATTTTCACATTTTGGTTTGTTGCTCACAAAGCTACAATATGGCATCAAAAGACTTAAATTATAGTGGAATTTTTTTTTTTTGAGATACATTTAGATCAGATTTTTGTCCTTTTGTGAGCTTGACAGCTCACACACACACATGCACACACGCACACACACACGCACACACACGCACACGCACACACACACACACAGAAACACACACACAGATACGCACGCACGCACACGCACACGCACACAGACACACACACACACACACACTCTCACACACACACACACACACACACACACACACACACACACACACACACACTCACACTCACACTCACACACACACACTCACACTCAGACACTCACACACACACTCAGACACTCACACTCACACTCAGACACTCACACACACACAGACACTCACACACACACTCACACACACACTCAGACACTCACACACACTCACACTC